ATTTAGAGGCACTCCTGAGATATCTTTTGTGCACCTATCAAGACTGATAGTTTGAATGCACTCCTGAGATATCTTTTGTGCACCTAACATGACTGATAGTTTAGATGCACTCCTGAGATATCTTTTGTGCACGTAACATGACTAATAGTTTAGATGCACTCCTGCGACATCTTCTGTGTAACTAACATCACTGATATGTTAGAGGCACTCCTGAGATATCTTCTGTGTTCCTAACATGACTGATAATTTAGAGGCACCTCTGAGATATCTTCTGTGTACCTAACATGACTAATAATTTAGAGGCACTCCTTAGATATCTTTTGTGCACCAAACATGACTGATATTTTAGATGCACTCCTGAGATATCTTCTGTGTTCCTAACATGACTGATAGTTTAGAGGCACTCCCGAGATATCTTCTGTGCACCTAGCATGACTGATAATTTAGAGGCACTCCTGGGATTTCTTCCGTGCACCTAACATGACTGATATTTTAGAGGCACTCCTGAGATATCTTCTGTGTACCTAACATGACTAATAATTTAGATGCACTCCTGAGATATCTTCTGTGCACCTAACATGACTGATAGGTTAGATGCACTCCTGAGATATCTTGTGTGCACGTAACATGACTAATAGTTTAGATGCACTCCTGAGACATCTTCTGTGTAACTAACATCACTGATATTTTAGAGGCACTCCTGAGATATCTTCTGTGTTCCTAACATGACTGATAATTTAGAGGCACCTCTGAGATATCTTCTGTGTACCTAACATGACTGATAGTTTAGAGGCACTCCTGATATATCTTCTGTGTACCTAAAATGACTAATAATTTAGAGGCACTCCTGAGATATCTTTTGTGCACCTAACATGACTGATATTTTAGAGGCACCTCTGAGATATCTTCTGTGTACCTAACATGACTAATAATTTAGAGGCACTCCTGAGATATCTTTTGTGCACCAAACATGACTGATATTTTAGATGCACTCCTGAGATATCTTCTGTGTTCCTAACATGACTGATAGTTTAGAGGCACTCCCGAGATATCTTCTGTGCACCTAGCATGACTGATAATTTAGAGGCACTCCTGGGATTTCTTCCGTGCACCTAACATGACTGATATTTTAGAGGCACTCCTGAGATATCTTCTGTGTACCTAACATGACTAATAATTTAGATGCACTCCTGAGATATCTTCTGTGTAACTAACATCAGTGATATTTTAGAGGCACTCCTGAGATATCTTCTGTGTAACTAACATCAGTGATAGTTTAGAGGCACTCCTGAAATATCTTTTGTGCACCTATCAAGACTGATAGTTTGCATGCACTCCTGAGATATCTTTTGTGCACCTAACATGACTGATAGTTTAGATGCACTCCTGCGATATCTTTTGTGCACGTAACATGACTGATAGTTTAGATGCACTCCTAAGATATCTTCTGTGCATCTAACATGATTGATAGTTTAGAGACACTCCTTAGATATCTTCTGTGCACCTAACATGACTGATATTTTAGAGGCACTCCTGATATATCTTCTGTGCAGTTAATATGACTGATATTTTAGAGGCACTCCTGATATATCTTCTGTGCAGTTAATATGACTGATATTTTAGAGGCACTCCTGAAATTTCTTCTGCGCACCTAACATGACTGATATTTTAGATGCACTCCTGAGATATCCTTTGTGTACCTATTATGACTGATAGTTTAGAGGCACTCCTGAGATTTCCTCTGTGTACCTAACATGACTGATAGTTTAGAGGCACTTCTGAGATATCTTCTGTGCACCTAACATGACTGACAGAAATAGGCGCCGCTGAGATATCTTCTGTGCATCTAACAGGACTTGTAATGGTAGTTATCTATCAGCAATGAATGTTGTGTCAATTTACATCTAGCGCCCTCTGGTAGACGGGAGAGGGATATATGGGATAAATCTAAATATCTGTTTTTATTCAACTAAATAGTAATCATGTTAGGTCTCAAAACACAACCATTTATGTATACAGGACCTTAATATCAACTGTTTGAAGATAAACTCTACGAAAGACTTTGATCCAAATGACGTGTATTGCCCAATACCTTATGAGAAGGGATATTGTCTTGTACGCTACTTAGAACACCTAGCTGGAGGGTATGAACATTTCGAGAAGTTCTTGCGAGCTTATATTGATAAATTCAAGTTTAAGGTACGTCTATTACCCATAAAGCATTGGTTTGCTATGTATAAATTCAAGTTTAAGGTACGTCTATTACCCATAAAGCATTGGTTTGCTATGTATAAATTCAAGTTTAAGGTACGTCTATTACCCATAAAGCATTGGTTTGCTATGTATAAATTCAAGTTTAAGGTACGTCTATTACCCATAAAGCATTGGTTTGCTATGTATAAATTCAAGTTTAAGGTACGTCTATTACCCATAAAGCATTGGTTTGCTATGTATTTGGGGGACTGCAGATGAGCAGCTTTTGACGATTTACGAGCATATTTTGTAATTGGATTGGTGTTTATTGTTTGCTGATAATCACTGAATGTTACTATGCTAATTACTGTGATAATTATCAAAATGCACAGTGTAAAACAGTTGTAGACAACTTTGCATGATTGTCACTCGAACAACATGTACTCTCATCTAACGATTTGCCATTCCATATAATGACTGAATTGTTTACACACTACACAACTCAGTTTTTAAATCTCGAAGATTATATTTACGATCAATTACGCCGGGTTGTTTCATCTGATAATTACAGATAATATAACATACAGCTTTTTTGTTTTATTATCGAAAAATAATGTATTATCACACTATGCGCTACCGAGTGGCCAGCACATATAATTCAAAAAGCAATTTTTATATAATTCAGCAAAACATCTTCTGAATATATTATTCTTACATACAACGAAACTAGGTGATGTTATACATTCAAGAACATTCACTGCATATAATAACAATTATGAGACACTATAAAACTAATAAATTGTGGAATGTGAAGATAATGTAGGCAATAATGATATGCTTAACATTTTTAGAGTGTAAATGGGCAAGATATATTGGACTACTTCCTTGATTATTTCCCTCATTACCGAAGACAGGAAATAGAAAACAGGTAACACGATGTAATGACAAGGAATATGTCGAAATAACACTTCCTGCTCTTTGAAAATTACGTGTTCTGAATTAAGATGAATTAAAGTTAACACGTTTAAATGCTTGAATTGAATATTATTCTTCACATGGTACACTAGGTGCAGATGTTCATTTCATGACGGTACAATACAATATTTTTTTATTGTATAATAAAACTATAAATCTGTGCTCTAATAGGAAAGATTACGAATTCGATAAATGGTTGAATAATCCGGGATGGCCACCATATGTACCCGATTTGTCGGCAGGAAACGATTTAACAAAACCAGCTGAAATACTAGCAGCGATGTGGGCGGGAGAAGAAACACAGGTGGGTTGATAAGAACTGCTGGAGTTATTAGCTGGTAGGTAGTTTCTTAACTAGTAGAATTAGCTTCTGGATAACAGAGATGTACTAACAGATATATGGTCTTAACATGCACAGTTGTGAAAGGTGCACAGGTAAATAAACTAAATACGCTAAGTAATAGCACTATACAAAAAGATATGCAGGCAGATTTACTAAACTAGCTTAGTTAATATAATTATTTTGAACAGGAGGTGATACACTGGTGGCCCCTCAAGCCATCAGAGTTAATAGATTTATTCTAGACAAGCGAAGATGTACAGAAAGTATGATGAACGAGTTGTAGGTAAATATAGTCTGGACAGGAGAAAATATACAGGTAAACAAATTATGCTAATTGAGGTATTTTAGAAAGAAAAGACACAAAACAGGTTGACTAAATCAGTTGCGGTAATATCAGTAGTTTGGATAGGAAAGAAATACAAACGCTTGTTGAGTAAACCAGCTATGTTAACAACGGTAGTCTGGGCAGGACAAACCCAACTTTGTTCATAACAGTAGGCTGGACAGGAGAATATATGCAGGTAAGTTAACTAAACCAGTGATGTTAATTGAAGTATTCTAGACCAGAGATGTTGACGGAACCAGCTCACTAAATGTTAATGGCTGCATTCTGGTCAGTTAAGAACAACTTTACAAACATCGCTAAAGGTTGGCAGTTATTGAATATTATTTAGATACCACTGGTAAGAGCTGATACAATTGCAATGACTTCGGTATTCTTTACATTATAAATAAACACACATTCATTTTTGTTTATTTTTTATTCCAGGGCAGCACGAAATTTTCTAACGACATTACCAATTGGCCAATTTACCAGGTGATCTTCTTTCTTGACAAGCTATTGGCTAAATTGAAACTACCAGATGGAACAATTCAGCAGATAAACGAGAAATATCCAACGATATCACAGAGCCAGAATGCAGAGGTTAGTGTTCTTATAGCCAATTATCCATTTAATGATCATGACTGAATCTTATATGACACTTTCTGAAAAGTGTTTTCCTTTAACAATATTACTTATGATTTCAGGTAAGATTTCGATGGTCTTTATTAACGCTAAAATATAGCTTCACAGAGGACTACCCCAATGTCAGAAACTTCCTAGAGTGTCAAGGTACAAACAATATGGAATATAAATATTATTATTCACACCTTATTTGTCACACCTTCATAATTGTTAATTATTTGTAATCAGCTGAATACTGAACTTAAAACGTATTAACGTCACTAAAAGTTTTCCAGTCGTAAATATCATGTCTGGTTTTTTAAAGAAAATGCTTTGTCACAGAATAATAGTCTGTTAAAAGTGCCAAGTATGAAATAATTTGGGGACAAAAAACAAACCTGCATAGAAATCGGAATAATAGGTTTTTTTGATTATCGGAGACGCATTTCAATGGACTTGATTACGGACAATGCATGACGTAAATTTCACCAGGAAATTCTGCAGTGTGCTTTCGCAATCGCGGACTTAGTCATTTTTACAAGGTTCGCCATTTTTGATGTCACGTGATAATTATGTAAACAATAACTGTCCAGTTTGTGCAAACTTGTACGTCTATACTTAGTCTTTTGAAATATATAAGCTAAATTACTGTTCTGAACGAGACAACAGACAGAGAATGTTTTATTCGAAACCGTCACAAAACCCTTCTCGCTACCTTAAAACGGGGAGTGTGGTGTAATACTTTCTTCATCATACATGGTTTCACCGATCTTGATTTAATGTAGATAAATAAAGATGATTAGTTCGGAACCAGTTGCGTGAGCGATACAAAGACATGCAAGCTCTCAGTCAGAAGTCTATGGAACACTTCATAGTTTATGTATATGCTCAGTTTTTGAAAACAAAAATGCAATTGTGTTGATCAGAATAAATTATATTTTCAGTACAGTAAATCAGTCATGAATTTGGAAAGGTATATGCTTTTTCGTCGCAATTTATTCCAGTTAAAAAATCAATGCAATAACTGGGTAGGTATCGATACAAAGTAATGGTCTGTTACAAACAAACAATGTGATGCAAGAGTTTACGTTGTTCAGTTTCCCACCTCCGCAAACTGTTTTTGTTCTCAGTCAACATTGGAACGTAGCCCAGAAATAACGTTGTCGACCAGTGAACATAAATATTGTTATGAACAACATTAAAGCACACCGTAGCTCAGTTTTTTTTAGCGTGAACGTGTGTAGTTTTGCGAATCATCAATTATAGTATTAGATTATAGTGCGAATACGAACATTCCAGTTATGATGATAAATCGTAATCTTCAGAGTTTTAATACCGAGTAAATCTTAGCGTATTCTTTTCTCCGGATCAGGGCATTTTATGTTATTCCGAAAGCAGCAAATCAAATGTGCAGTCAACGTAAATGTTCTGTAATCATCAATCAATATTGTTGAACTGGAAATGTACAATATCCTTGTATTGCGTACCACTGAAATATGAGAGAGAAAGAGAGTACAGGCGCTCTCAGCAAAAACATTGTACATATGTGTTTGAACTGAAATATGCAATACACGTGAAACTATAGATTATGCAAAGATATCTCGAATGTGTTATATCAACCTATGTGTTTTCATAACTACGTTCCTTGAAGATAATTGCATTAAGACTTACTTTATGAAAATGGACCATGTAAAGAGAACACGTCCTGTAAACTGGGTTTACGATTTATATATAGCATGGTTTTTATATTTATTACCACAAACGAATTACTCATTATCATATCAATAACTATTACGTCAAAATTATGTTTATTAGTTAAAATTCCATCAACACATGTGCCCGAGTTTTTAACATTACTAAATGGAAATCATAATTAAGTATGTAAATCCTATGGACAAATTATGGTTGGTTGATAATGTCGTAGCAGAAGATTCCACCAACTTCAGGCGAATAAGAGCACATCTGCTAATCTTAAATTATTTCGCTGCAAACACACAGAGACATGAATAACTTTTTATTTTTTCTCGATTCAAAGGATATCATTATTTGTTTTACTTCTAGGGAAACAACTTTATACAACTCCCTTGTATCAAGCTATGATCGACGGAAGTGACGTGACCAGAAAAATGGCGCATGATGTCTTTGAATCTTCAAAGGAAAAAATGCACTTCACCGTCCGAAGATATGTCGAGGATTTACTTTCTAAATCATAACGGATACCGATATTTACCGATGTAAAAAAACAAACATGACAATGACATTTTAATTCCCTCACCGGTTCTGTTTTGTTTGTCTATGTACTTAATAGTTTCACATATTGGTATAATGCTAATGCTACTTAAAATCCACACATCGTGTAATTTGCATATGTGATTCAAAGATCCATACTCCAGATATATTCTTCATCTCTACTTTTCAATGAGACTCGTATGGCAACGTAGACGGTAAATGCATGCGATGTAATTCCCTAGCGTGTGGTGGTTTCTACTGGCGGCGGTTAGATGCAAACACGTGCAACTAAAAGGCTTTTATATAGGTTTTGTTCATTCCATGACTCATTGAACGCCACCACGTATACAGAAAGTGTCGATATGAAAACTACCTGTGTACATGCAGAGATCTCGTGCACTGCGGTTGCTAAGCTACAGACCGCAGGATATCTAAAAAGGTATCTCTGGCATCACCGCAAATGTTGAGCTTTATGGTGTGTTTTGATTTGATATGATTTGTTTCGTGAACTGTTCACAACATGTAAATTGTATGACGTAAATAAACAGAGCACGTTTGGACTGATTTGAATATATCGCTGTGGTGTCGTTAATGATATTATCTTGCCATGAAAACAGCGACATAAAAAATAAATGTAAATAACGATGACAATTACGATGTCGATGAAATCTCAGGAAGCTTCTAAATTAACACATCCATCAATATGCATTGATCAATAATCAAGTCGTGTGAAACAACACCAATTCTTTTCACGTCAAGCGTCTGTAATAGAAAGCTTCAGTAGTAACGGACGACTGTGTTTCAACCTGTGCTATCTTACCGGGGAGGGCTTCGCACTTTCACTCGTCGACATATCCGTGTAAATGTATGAACAAACATGTGTTAATAAGAATAATACGTTTCCCGGGGTAACGTTTCAAACCTAATTAATTTGGGACGAGTCGTAATGTTGTATGAAAGCACATATCGATGACTGGTATCCAGTGTTAGTGGGTATTCCTGTCCGATGTGACATGAGTGATGCCTCGCTGTGCGACATTCTCCAAATCTCCTTCACCTTTCCGCCTTGACACATTCGATATGCATGTATGCCCTGGACTGTCAATCAACCAATCAAACTTCTTAAAAAAATGATAACAAATAATATGGATTGGTGAAACTAAATATATAGCCAAGGCTGTATAAATTGCCTATTGTAATTCAAGGACTACTGTACGTGATTGTAGGCGACACTTGACTCGGAGTAGATAATTGGCGATTGTACTTGAAATGAATGCCTTTACCGTTTACCAAACCAATTACAAGCAGACCACGTATGCATATCATGAACAGCCGCCATGTCTACGTGATGTCACGTAGTTCACGAGTGACGTCACTAATCATTACATATTGTTATATAATATTTACGGAGTTATTGGATTCGAGCAAACAAATAAGTACGCACACTATAATAGCATATTCGTGGATTGTTTAGCTTTATACTAATTTTAAACCAGTATACGAAAAATAAATTAAATGTCACGACAAACAACATTACGGTAGTTACTGGAGTTGAACACATTTTATATATTTTGCGTTCTAAAAAAATGTTATATGATTTCGACAGTTCTATTTTTAGGAAATCAACCTAATCCAGAACAACTACATGGGCCGGGACGTCGTCCTGGTTACATTTAAAAAGATAGACATTCAGCATATTGAACGATTTGAATATATCCGGCGCCTGTTTAAGTTAGCTGAATATGACGTATAGTAAATACGAATACTGCATTAAATTCAACGTAGTTTGCAATTCGCTTTTCTTTCAATTAATTGCAGTTTAAATTGACTTGAATTTCGTTACAATAATTTAAACTAAATCGCATTTAACTTAAACTGAAATTAAATTTAATTGATGTGGAATCAGGGGTTACGTCAGTTGGAGAAGACCAGTGATCGGGTCGGAAAATCGTTAACGTATAATCTCTGTTTCGATATGACTTTGTTCATGTGAACGCTATAGGGTCATTAACCCGAGCCGAACGCTGAGCTTGCTAACGATATACATTATACAACACGCGCGCTCGTATGTAAGTATAACAAGAAATGTAATTCAGATACAAATAATAATAACCGTTTATCGGTATCTGCTTTTATAATGACGTCACCCTGTCAAACGTATCCGTATATCGTTATCGATGGTACCAAGGAGTCACATCAGTGGTCGTTATTTTTTCCGTCCGGTCTTCAAATACGTATTGCACATTGGATACTGCAGGTGAAACATGCGTTTTTGGTTTTGGGCGAAATTTATACCACATTTTAACGTAGTTGGTCGATATAATTCCCGTTAGTCGCGTAAAAACAATTCATGTACAATAGTGAGAACGTATTGTCGACTCGGATAACAAGAAGACATAGTCTAATATGTCATGATAAATTTTCAGGCGAAAGAAAAAAACATTGTCACCGCGAACCAAATTCATTTTTGTTGTTGATCTCCCATGACATTCAGTAAACTCAGTCAGCGGCTAGTTAAAAGGCATATCCACGGCGAAAATCTCACTAATTCATCAGTACACGCGTACAGCAATACTGCCTTGGAGTGTTAGATACTGTTACGTGCATAATAATGTTAACAAGAGAGCAAAACCCGGTGGGAGTTGAAATAAAATACATGGCACCCCAACTAACAAAATAAAATACCAAATGTATGTTTTTATAAAATTAAAAAAACAAAAAAACAGCCATTAATCTACTGTCATAAATCAATTATTGTACACTTTTTAATACACACACCCCGAAATATTGAGTACATGTTACGTTTCCTACGTGCATGACTACACCACTAACTGATATCATATAGCAATATTAGGAAACATTATTTACATTATATTTACAATTTTTCTATTCATATTTCAAACATTACTTGATATTTGTTACTAATACCTAATCGTGTTTGTGTAGAATATATTATCTGCCAAGAAATTATGGATGTTTGTCAGTTACCATCGTTACAGAAGAATACAACAATCTACTTGCTAAGCGTAAAATAAAATATACTAGTTTTCTCAATACTCGACGCGTGATGCACAGACGATGATAATTACCCATATTTCAATATTATTTAAAATACAAATAGGTTTTCCTGCTTTGTGTCACACAATGTTATGTAATATGATTTACCATATCAATTCAAAAAACTCCGCACTGAGACTTGGAACGTGTTTAATGAATGCTATATTTCATTTGCGATTTGTTGGGCGTCAGTTAAAGTATCATGAATCGAGCCGTTTCCACGGTTCAATAAAACAAGGACATGTTTAGGTCAAGACATGAAATGCAATTTTGTAGTAAGGAAAAATCTCGTTTATTATTTTACAATCTGTAGTCAATTGTTCGTTATTTGAATTATCTTGGGCATAACTCAATTTATATGCACCTAATTGCGAACCTATTACGTCTAAAGAAACTGAATCGATCAATTTGGGCGTAAATTGACTGTCAACACTGCGCATTTTACCGCGATTTCCACTAATTTAGTTCAAATTGAGTCTATTTACATCAGCGCTTTCATAAATTGTTAAACCTTACTACACGTCATTGTGTAAAACACCACTCACGCACTATTGACAGCGCCACGGACAACAGCAACAGCGACCAACCACAACGGATCCATGAGCAAGAGAACCTTCTTTTACATTTGTCATTTTTTGAAATGCACTTTTCGGATTATTAAAAGTCGAAGCTCAAAATCGGGTTCCACAAATTACAAACGCGCAAGTCACAAATGAGACTTTCAAACGTATCACATAAGGCGCAGACTCGACAACGTTTCATATCCAACTTACAAAACGTACAAGTAAGGAGTTAATAATTAATTAACCGATATAAAATTAAAAAAAATTCACCGTTTAAAACGCGCCAAATATGCAAATTGTGTATTGTATCACAGACGCATTTGTATTTTCAAACGCACTGATATACGAAGATATATTAATGGGGTGTATGCTTTGGTCAAAAATTATCAAATGTATATTAATGAACGCTTCTAGAAATACCTCCCCCATCGGCGACAGGCGTCTTGATAATTGTTAAATTAATGATTCGATGTGCAAATATAGTGTGTAGATATAATTATTTTCCCCCAATTGCTTATTTAGTTATAACTTATTGATAACGAATTATGCAATAATTGACGATGAATTACTTAATTAATTTAATTTATTGTTAATTTACAAATTTGAATAGATAATGTATTCTATTGAGTAATACTAACTTAACTACGTCAGGGAATTACTATTCGATGCTAAATGGTTTCGAATTTGCTTTAACTTAGTCTCAACTCGAGGACTGGATGTTAAATGTTACTCAAAAAAGTAAAAACACGGAGATTGAATGTTAAATTGTCATTAATATAGTTCCAAAACAAAGCTGCTAAACAGGAAATAAAGGATCAGTATCTGAACGCACATCCCAAAATTCCAAACTCAACATTACTGCACTCGATTCACCCTAGGGTATAAGTGTCTTCCAATAAAAGCATGGCATAAATCGTCTGGTTGTCATATTAGTCATGCAAATGTATTCAAATGTCGCACAAATTATATATGGCCAGTCAGTCAAATCTGAACAATTGGAAAGAAATCATTCTCCTACTGTAACAATTGATCTGTTTGAATGCAGCGCTCTATGATTTCCATTATCATAATATCCTTAGATGATTGACAATGCTGACGATGATGCATGTTCATCAAATTTCCAATTCATGAGAATAAATATGTTCACAGTGCATTGATACAAGACGTTTTCTAAACTCCAGAAAACGTGCATAAGTTACAGCAAACATAATTACAAAAGTACTTGTATTTTAGTGCAATAATCGGTGCCAACTTACTGAAGTAAATATATTGAACGTGACATCAGCTAATTCACATCTTTCCTATTTTGATTCGTAGTTTTCAATAATGCTGTTCATAATTATTCTCAGTATTCGACACTCCTT